ATTTCCCAGAATTGGTATGTTCTGTATCTCTGTCTGCATATGTATTGTCTTATTAAATTCAGTTTTGATATTTTTAGAGCCCTTCCTTAGCCATTTAATTCATGAACTTGTCCTTTGTTTAAATCTCCTTTTTACTATTATATGTCCCCTTATCACACTCCATACTAAAGGGAATTGCTAATTAGCAACTAGCATATATATAAGTAATATCTTGTATCGTTTTTGTTTTGCTCTAGGATTTTACGAGTAAAAAGATTCCTTCAACAATCGCAAAATGGCTTCACGAGTGCAGAGCATCTCAGTCGATTATGAAGCCGGATTTCACTGCTTGGATGTATGCTAATACCAAAATTCTTATTGAGCTAGAAGCCGTGATAGAACGATTACAGCCCGCCGGTTTGATCAACGATATTTGCCAATTTCTCTATCGTTTCTATAAATCGGATAATCATTTGCTCCACACTTTTGTGATACAGCTTATCCCTGCGATGCTTTCTTCATTTCTTGTCCTTTCGTCTGGTGAAAATGCCGTTAGCCTTATGAAGAAACCTAATTCGGCTTTCAGCTCGATGGGCTCCCCTTCAAATGGAGACCGCCATCCAGACTCGGATTTCGCAGCTCTAGAATCCTGCCTTATTGGCATGACTAGTCAATCAGTCTTCCGTCGGCTTAACAAGACCGGACGCAAAGAGATACGAGGACAACATAATGTGATTCGTAGCGGATCCTCTGATGCTTTATGGATCCCAGCTCTCAATGAAACATCTTCCATTTTTCATGTCTCCTCTGCTTATTATAAGTCTCTCGCTCTTAACTCTTGTATAGGAAATTCCCATGCTAATCCATCCTCTAGCAATGATTTTTGTCTCCCTCATAATGCATACTCTGAATACGCTCATATATACAATATTCCTGAGCTTTCTAAACTCACTGGCTTATCCCAGCAAAACAGACTAACCATTGCTATATGTCTGATCGACATCTTTTTGGAAACTTTGTCGCAATCAATTTCTGAGAGCGGCAAGGTCGAGCATACACCACCCTCTCCACATTCTTTAATTCGGTTTTGCGAGTTTGTTACTCGTGTATCGTCTCTACGACATCGACCTCGCATTGCAATGAACGAAGGCCTATTCATCCGCCTTGTTCAAGGCCTCGACACCGTGGTATTTTTTTATTCTCGTATAACCTCTCGAGAAACATACCATTTGACTCCTCTGCAGTCTTCTATGGCACCAGCAACTGCTAAGTTGTGGAAAATGTATCGAAAGGCGGCACCGGATATATGTCGGGCTTCCTTCTGCAGCCTTCTTTCCCTTGAAGAGCGCGCTTCCTTTGACTTCTTTGCTGGTGGCCTGCTTGTTTGTGATGCCGTTCGTCGTTGCTGGACCCAACGGCCAAACTTTGTTGGCTCTGATTTACCCAAAGAGCTTGTAAAGGAACTTAGTGATATCAGAGATTCCCACTTATCACAGCATCAACCAGAACCATTGAGCTTATTGGGTTCTTTTCTGCTGGATCTGGATGAAGAAGGCTTGAACAAACTAAGCCTTGCTGCCTCGACACCATCTCGTCGTGGCCAAGCTCTCACTCGAGTTGCGAATGGCGGACCTCTAATAGATGCTACTTGTGTTGGGGGGGGAGTTAGCGCAACTAGCACTAGCAGTTTGCTCAATGCCCAGCATCATGGGCACCCTCAGGTCTCGAGTGAGGCTTTGAATGGCACAGGCGTCTTTTCAGATGCAGCCTTGTCTGTCTGTCTGGATGAAGCTGGAATAGCCAGCCCGGTCGAGCGTAACCTTGTCAGCCAAACTTCCACTGAGATTGGTTCGACACCGACCTCGAATGTTCCTGCTGGAAGCACCCAAGCTCGTCGAACAGGCAGTCGGCTGCGCCAGATGTCCACTGTTGAAGTGATCACAAATGCATCGTTCCGTCCGGAGGTGGTACCAGAGGATATTACTCCTGGCCAGGACACTATTAATCCTAATCAGCACATCCATCACGGCCAGCATCACCAGCATCAGCAACGCCACCGTGCCCTCAACCATCATAACGTTTCTGGCCGGCAGCCTCACACTGAAAATTCTTCCAGTCGTGTCGTGCCCACCAAACAGACATTGGGGTCTGGACCGCAACCTCTTTCACTCAATGGTCCATCTAAGGTGGTGGGTGAGCTTGTCGATAATCCAGACATAGTGGCGCCCCCAACTAGACATAATGAAAAACGATTCCACTTTCACTTAGGCAAGAAAGCAACGCAAGGAGTTAACTCTCAATTAACAGACCAGGCAGCCGGAATATCCTCTTCAGCTACTTCGGGCACTGGCACATCGTCTTCCCGAACTAATTCAAGGATTCGGGAAAAAGTAAGTGTACGAGTTAGGTTGATTATTCTATAATACTAGTCCAGTAGCTAAAATATTTCTTTGAGCTTTTCGTCAAATGGTTTCTTACTGGAACTTTTTTAAGTTAGAGTGACTATTCGAAGTGACAAATAATTTAAATTGATACTGACAACTCATTATTTACTACCAGATTTTTTGGCATGCAAAAGTTATAATTATTTGCGTTAGCCATATGAAGCATATATGCCTGAGCTACTTAGGTCTTTATAAAATCTTTTTTTAAATATCCAGACAGTTTTGTCTACCATTTACTCTTCTTGTACCAAGCTAAATTTTCTTTGGCTAGCTCATCATCTTAAATTTGGTCTTTACTTTAAATTTCTGTGATTAAGTTCATTAGCAAAGAGTTCATTAGCAAAGGTTGCGTATACTAAGGGGATCCTCCCATTTGTTCAATGAAAGAGTTTCCGGGGGATGCAGCTCTTACATTGGATTTTCCAAAATGTTTAGGCAAAGTAAATTTGTAGCCGTAGTGCTCTCTTGAAGCATTTCAATGCTAATTTCTCAAAGGGCGTCTCGGAACAAATCCTTCAATACCACCTCTCTTATTTTTAGAATTTTTTATTCACAGTCAATTAGTAAAAAATTATGCGTTCAGTTACCCTATTCGTGTCTAGCTGGTATGACTGTCGAATTATAACAAATCATTTTTATAGCATTTGGCACTGAACACTATTTTGAAGGTCATTAGGCTAAAGAGGTTATTTTCCTGTCAATTCCTTTTTAATTCCTCTATCAGATTTAATTTATCTTTCTTGTATAGGCTAAACATTAATGGAATCGAGACATCTATCTGACTTACTCCGATACTGTGTGATAAAGGCCTAAGGAGGCCTTATATTCTTATCTGAACTGAGCTGTCGACATAGATGATCCGAATACTTTGATTATATGACTATTAGACTAAAATTTATTAGTAAATTGTAGAGATTATGATTGGTTATCGAGCCAAGTACTTATTTAACTTATTTGCCTTATTAGAGGGGTCATCTCTCTTTTGAACATTTTTATAGATATATAGTTGACTGGCGTTACATAGTCTAGCACAACTATTTTATTGATATTTAAAGACGTCCTATTCCAATTGTTGCTTAATTATGTTCCTCACAATTAGTATGTTCCCGTTTTATGTAAAAATTAAGATACCCCTTTGATTTTCACAGGAAAAGCCTCTGCTTACCTTGGGACGATTTTTTCACAAGTCTGAGGAGACATCTCTCAATACCAATATCGTTTTTGATAAGCTCTAAAATCTATCTAGGTCGAAATGAATTGTCGCCTTGATACGTTTATTCAATAATTAATATTTTTGTGTAGCCTTATAGGGCAGCACTCGTAGATATTTGATTTTGCCTCTAGTTCGTTAGAAGCTCATTTGAGTTGAATAAAATCGATGGCTAAGCTAACTAAGAGCCCTCCTGCGTTGTATTTTGGCAACTTCAGGCTTTTAACTATCTCCCCCTATATATGAAATATTCTACAACTATATGGACAGTAATACTTCTCTCATTGTTTGTTCCTATGAGAGAAGGCCTTCTTTTGACCGATCCCAAACAAATTATCAGCACGGTTTACTTAAAACTCGTCCAATTCTTTTGTTTTACCTTAGATGAATCTGCTATTTAATTATTCCGTCTTACTGAGTTATTTAAACAACTCGGAACCCCGGGACCGTCCATGGAAACCAGTTAAAAAATAGGATGCTGAAAGTCTGATCTATGTATTAATTTTTACTTGTTGGGATTACTTCCATTTCGAGTAGAAGTGTTGGGTGAAGGGATTCGAAGGTCGGTTCCACCAGAAGACGACGGCGAATT